GATGCATGTGCATATTAAAGACTCGTATTTATCAGTCTCAAATGTAAGTTCACGTACGTGCTTAATGTTCCCATAAATCAGCAGCTCTCCCTGTTAAACCATATATGAGAGTGTGTTATGGAGAAAAGCTATTTATGAACACTGGAGCCAGTAATCCAAGAGCTGTTTGAGAAAATGTTTGTGAAGAAAAGATTTCCTATCCGAAGGAATTACTCAGAGGATACATCACGAAGGGAAAATCAAAATAAAACCCCGTCAATTAAAAAAGAGGCGAGGACTTGTGGCTCGAGGAGTGGCAGGAGGGGGAAGTGTTTATTTGGGGTTTAATTAAAGCAGTGCCCTTAGATAATCACAGGCCTCAGGTGGGTGTTTGGGTCTTTGAGGACTCTCTGTAAAGTCTGGACTAAAGACAACAAACTCTGTCCCAAGGGGGGAAGGGAATGAGAGGAGCTTTAAGGTCCCTCCCAACCCAAACTATATTAAATAGTGATTATATGAAAAGTAGTCTTGATGATGTTTTAACAAATGGGTTGGAAGGGACCTTAAAGATCATCTCGTTCCTTTCCCTGTTTGCACAGAGTTTGGTGTCTTTAATCCAGATTTTATGGAGGATCCATGGGCAGGGACACCTCCCACTGCCCCAGGTTGCTCCAAGCCCTGTCCCACCTGGCCTTGGACACTTCCAGGGATCCAGGGGCAGCCACAGCTCCTCTGGGCAACCTGTGCCAGGGCCTTTTGCTCGTGTCAAAAATTGGTATTTCTTACGTAAAATAAACCCCCAAAAATAAACCCCATGAAAATACAGGACCTGGTGCTTCTTCCTGGGGCAAATTGTGGCTTCCATCCCCATGTGGGCCACTCATTAAGGGTTGGACTCGATGATCCTTGGGGGTCCCTTCCCACTCAGAACACTCTGAGGAAGAGGAGGAAGATGCAGCAGCACGTCCACCTTGGGCCACCCTTTGCTACCAAGAATCCACTTCCTGCTCCTCTCAGGGGCCAAGAAGGTCTCCAGCTGTGGTGAGAAGAGGAGCCACATCTCCCTTCATCCCCATCCCAGCTCCAGGCACAGGCCAGGGCGATTTTGGGGCTCCCAGGGAAGAGCAGCCCCCACAATCTCCACCTCAGCCTCCTGCTGATGTTCTGTGCCTGCGTGGCCCCCACGTGTGGCCCCAGCTCATTAATATTAAAATTGGCTCATACACAGTTCACCCACAATTCAGGCTTCAATAAGGTTCCTACTGCTCCTTCCCAGCCCCTGCCACACTCTGAATTCCTGCCTGGCTGAGATCTGTTCCCCTGCTCCCTCCCAGCCCTGCCATTCCACAGAGAGATAAGATCCAGATCTGCTGTACTCTGCTGATCCTCTGTCAGAAATGCACCTTGTCAGGCCAGCATTTGATATTCTTTTGCCATTTCTATAGGGGAGGGGGGGGGAAGCCCTTTAACAAAATAAAAAAATAAAAAAAAAATCACATTTCCCCCCTTTTTGTTCTGTAATGACACAAACAGTAAAACGTTCAGATTCCATCAGGGAATGGAAAAGCCCCAGGGAGAAAAGACACCGACAAAAGCTTCATTTGGAGGTAAAATTGCTGGAGCTGGGGGCACTGCACATTCCTGCTGAGGGGGGGCTTTTTTTCCCTGCTTGCCTTTCATCCCTCGGAATGTTAATACATTTTACAATGGGATGTTTAAAAGGGCTGCAGAGAAATGGGGTTTTATCCTCTCTAATGTCTCCCAGAAATCTCCAAGCAATTTACAACTGTGAATAATATCCGAGGAGTTTGGTGGGAGCGGGATGCTGACTCCAGCTGCAGCTCACAGCCCGTTAGGAAATCACTTTTAATCAGGATACTTTGGGTAAAACAGGTCTGTGTACGTGTTTTGTTTTCCCCTAAAGCTGCCTGATATTTTTTACACTTGCCTCAGTAACTGCTGGAGAAAGAGGGAAGGGGGAAGGCTGAAGGAATTGTGTCCTTAGCAGGATGATGTTGGAGGCAGGATAAGGAAGTGCCAGGTCAGACACTGGGGATGAGGACACTCCATGAACAGGTTTTTGGCACCTGCAGTGCCCTCAAAGCCAGAAATGGGATGTCTGGAAGGGGTGTGGGACTCCTCACTGGAGTCAGGAGATAACCAGCACCCAGTTAGAAAGTGGGAGAGTCATAGAATCATGGAATCGTAGAAGGGTTTGGGTTGGAAGAGACCTAAAACATTTAGTTCCACCCCCCTGCCGTGGGCAGGGACACCTTGCACTGGACCAGGCTGCTGAGCCCCGCTCACAGAATCCCACAATCCCAGGATATGCTGAGCTGGAAGGGACCCACCAGGACCATCCAGTCCAACCCTCAGCCCTGCACAGGAACATCCCCAAGAGTCACCCCCTGTGCCCCAGAGGATCATCCAAACCCTCCTGGAGCTCTGGCAGCCTGGGGCTGTGCCCACTGCCCTGGGGAGCCTGGTCAGTGCCCAACCATCCTCATTCCACGTGACCTGGAATGTTCCCAGGAATGGATCATCCACCACCTCTCTGGGCAACCTGTGCAGGGTTTGAAACAGCCCCTGTAGGAAATGGTCTTCCTGACCATGGGGTCATCAGGGCACCAGCTGAGGGGGAGCACTGCCGGGTTTGCTGGTGTGGGGGTGAGTGTTGAACAGGGGCTCCTCACCCCACAGCTCCAGGGCCAGCCCTTGGCACTGAAATCCCCACCTTCAACCCCTCTCCTGCCTTTCCAGATGAGGGGACGTGGCAAACAAACAGCTGGGTGTGCAGCCAGGGAAATCTGAAATCTGGGATAACAGAAGGGGAGTCACTGGGAGAGCTGGAGAACACCACTCTGAGTGTGCAGAGGGAGGGTGAGGAAAGGCACCGTGTACAACCCCAACACCACTGTGTACAACCCCAAAACCACTGTGTACAACCCCAACACCACTGTGTACAACCCCAACACCACTGTGTACAACCCCAACACCACTGTGTACAACCCCAACACCACCATGTACAACCCCAACACTGTGTACAACCCCCCCACCACCATGTACAACCCCAACCCCACTGTGGTTCCACCTCCCTGGCACTTCTTGTCCTGTAAAATCATTGTGTGGGGCCCTTTTTCCATTTGCATCCGGCCACAAGAAAGCTGCTGGATTTCACTCCCAAATCTACATCTTATCCAAGAGTTTTCCCGTGCCACGGATGGCCGGGGGAACGTCGGGCACAGGAGGGTCCTGCTCATGGAGGCACAGCAGCCAGGAGCTCCTTGGTCTCCTTCCAAGGCCACTGTGCAGGTTTGGGCTGCAAGGAATTTTGGTCCTGGCTTGTCAGAAGACTTCCTGCATGGAGCAGGAGCAGGAGCACCCTGAGGATGAGGACATGTAGGGCTGAAACAGGAACTACACCAGGATGTCCTGAACGGAGTCTGGACTGGCACAGAGCTCCTTGAGGAGACCACCACCACTGTCCCAACCCAGGGGCACCTCTGGCAGCCCAAGCTCAGCTGCTTTTGGGAGAATGAAGTCCACTAACCACCCCCTGGAGCCAAGAAGGGACCACAAGGGGAGCAACAGCCTCCACTGGTATTTGCTCCAGCAGCTTTACAAGCACAAACCCTCCTGAGCCTGTTCACCTCATTCCAACCCAGACTCTGGCTCTAATTAGTCTTTAGGAGACCAAGAGGTCATTTGACCATCCAGCCTGGAGAGAAGAGCACCCCAGGCTCCCCCAGCATATCCACTGAGATATTGCAGTGCTGGCAGCTCTGGCTTCAAAGCAGCTTCTTTTTCTTCTGCGTCTCGAGCTGGAGATTTAAACCTTCTCAGTGCTGCTCAACTTTTTCATGTGTATCAATGGATTTGTTCACAAACAAAGCAGGGATCGATCAGTGCAATAATAAAGTATTGATCAGGTGCCAGTAACCAATGAACCTGCAAAGCAGTGAGGAACACAGATCACACCCCTGGGGCACTCCCAGTTACTGCTCACTCAGTGCCACGCTCCTGGAGGGGCAGGAGGGCAGGGAGGAGCATTCCATAGCTCCACGTCTTTGCAAGGCACTGCAGCAGCCACTGCTCCATGAGCTGGTTCCTCTGGGCACCAAACTGCCCTCAGAGGGCTCTGCATCACTGCCAGCCCCTCCCAGCCTCTTCCAAGCTGCAAAATTCCAAGTTTCTGGCTGGAATGTCTCTCTGAAATGTCGACAGGGAGAAATACTCTGTTGCAGCTGCCTGTGCAGTGCGTATTTCCCTTCCCTTCTCATTTCCCTTCCCATTTCCCTTCCCAGGAATCCCTCAGCTGACACGTTGGAGGGCTCTGTGTGTGGTTTCCCAGCAGGATCACCTGCAGCTTTGCCATCCTAGGCTGAAACCTGGGCTTTTGCTGTCAGCTTCCCTGCTCCAAACAGGAAGTTTGTGTCAGGGTTCCCAAGGGAAGAGAGACATCAAGTCTGGCACTGCTTTGGTTCCAGTAATGCTGCCGTGGGCAGGGACACCTTCCACTCGAGCAGGTTGCTCAGAGCCCTCACCTGGAATGTTCCAGGAATGGATCATCCCCCAGCAGCACAGGCTGTACCTGCAGTAACAGGCACAAGGACAACAGTGCGAGAGCTGCACTGGGACAGGGTGAAGATGGAATGGGAAAGTTTCCAACCACGAGGCTCCTGAGCCCTTCTGGAGGGTAAAACTCCCTTCCAGCGTGAGCACAGTGCAGAGGATCCTGCCCTTGGCCCACCACAATCCATCTGTGCTCCAGAGGGACCCTATTCCCTGTGATCCCTGCCCTGAAAGCCAAACCTCACAAGCTTTCTGTCCCGGGAAACAGGGATGCTGTCCCCTGGTCACCCCTCCCCTGCCATTACTGGCTTGCCCCCCCCAAACCCGNTCCCAATGTGGGAAGACATCACTCCTCCAGTGGGTGATGGAGTTGGAGCAGCAGACAAAGCTCTTCCCACAGTCGAGGCACCTTTAGGGCTTCCCTTACTGGTGGGTCCGTTGGTGTGAGGTCAAGGCAGAGCTCTGGCTGAAGCTCTTCCCACACTCCCCACACTTGTAGGGCCTCTCCCCCCACTGTGGATGCGCCGGTGGGTGACGAGGTGGGAGCTCTGGTTGAAGCCCTTCCCACAGTGGGTGCAGCGGAAGGGTCTCTCTTCTGTGTGTGTCCGCTCATGCAGGAGGAGATTCCCACTGGTCTGAAACCTCTTCCCACATTCCAAGCACTTGTAGGGCCGTTCTCCGGTGTGGATGATCTGGTGGGTGAGGAGGTGGGAGCTCTGGCGGAAGCTCTTCCCACACTCCCCACACGTGTAGGGCCGTTCTCCCGTGTGGATGTGCTGGTGGGCGAGGAGAGCAAAGCTCTTGATGAAGCTCTTCCCACATTCCAAGCACTTGAAGGGCTTCTTCCTGGTGGGAGGCTGCTCAGGGACCACCAGTTTGGAGCTCCGGCTCAAGCTCTGGCTGCCTTCCTGGCACAGGGTGGGTCTTTCCTCCTCAGAGCACCCTGGGCTGGCTTTGGAGACCCTCCTCCTGGGGTACTGTGACAGACAGATAACATACAAATGCCAAAAATTATGTTTCGCCATTGTTCCTGCCTGTCAAAAACTTCCTACCGAAACTTCTGTGTCAGTTTTTCACCAGAAGTTCTCACCAAAGTTTCCTACTGGAGTTTTCCTGCCAAAAGATCCTGGTATTGTTCATCCTTATCATATTTGCGGACATCTGAACAGGGCTATGTGCCAAAACACCACAAACTACCTCCTTTGAACACTATAAAAGCTGAAGAGAAATTTGGGAAGATCAGGGAAAGAGGAGTGGGAAAGACAATTGGCTTTACCAGCTGAGAGATTCCCCCCCCCCCCTCAGTTTTTTTCTCTTGCTACCGAAAGCTGCCTGCCCGTCACCAGAGACTGAACCTCTGCCATCTGGAATTGGACCGGGACCCTCCGTGCTACTCCCGTGAGTTTTTTCCCCCCTGACCATATACCGAGATCCTCGCCCGGCCTGGGGCCGCCCAAATGTGAAGCGTGAGCTGCGGAGAAGCTCACAGCCTGGCTGCATTCCAGACCCCCTGCAGCTAAAGAGATAACATCACACCGAAAACGGTGGAGCCAGAGAAAAAAAAAAAAAAGGCGAAAGCTGCTTCTTTCTCTCCCTCTCCCCCCCCACTCCACAAGTCAGCTTGGACAAATAGGTAGTTCTTGGTGGTAAACTTTTTCTATGCTTCTAAAAAAGTAATCTTAGCATTTTCTAACCTTTTCTTATTTTTTCCTCTTTCTCTTCGCATCTCTTAGCAATTAATAAAAACAGCTTTGGCATCAACAGTTAACTTGTATGAGTTTTAATTTTGCTCAAGGGAACATTCAAATATAAAAATTCTTTCTGCAATATTTTAGCAGATTGTAACATTTCTATAGGCGCAGCGAACAGGGTTCCCTTAAGCAAAACTGTTTATTCCAAACCTGATAATTGCTAATTTTTATGATCGATCATTCTGTGATAGGAAAATCAGAGTAAGGTACCTTACCTCCTTACTTTACCTTCTTACCTTACCTACCTTTCCTCCTTCCTTACCTACCTCCCTTACCTTCTTTTCCCTTCCTTTCTTTTTTTTTTTTGACTTTATGACTGTGTGACTTAAGGACTTTGACTTTACAAATTATTTTTTATGTTTTGTTTTGTGTTGTTTTGTTTTGTCTTTTGAAGTTAATGTGCACATTGTAATTTAGTGCTTTCTGGGGAGAAAGGGGTGAAATTTTGGAAAGTAACTTTTAAGAAGGGCCCCCAGAAAAGCTCACCCCGGTTTTGGTTGTAATGTAACCTTTTTAAGAGGTAACTCTCTGGAGGAAGGAGCGAGACTTTGGAAATTTGCTGTAACTTTTAAGAGGGGCTCTCCAGAGAAGATCGCTCCAAATTTGTAAGGTAACTTTTTTTTAAGAGGGGCCTTTCCAGGGAGAGGAGTGAAGAACTTTGGAAATTTGCTGTAACTTTTAAGAGGAAACCCCTGGAGACGTATTCACTCTGAATTTGCGGTAACGTGGAACATAATGTGCAAGCTCTTACTAATTTGCTCGATGAATTTGGTGCCAGGCCATCTCCTCTGGGAATGGAATGGGCACAGGATAGTTGGTGTAATATTCAAGCAATTGTTGATCGAATCTCTACCCTGCGGGCAGGGGCGAGAAAAGGTAAAGGAAAACCTATCGTTTGTTCAATATTAGGTGCAGCTGTAATAACTGCAATTAACAACAAAGAACAGCAGCAAAAAGCTTACATGAAAGTGGTGCAAGAATCAATTAAGTCTTTGCAGATGCAGTTGGAGGAACAAACAGCTACAGCCACTGTCCTCCAGGAAGAGATAAGGAATGAAAGGGCTACAGCCCGTGTCCTTCGAGAGGAGCTGTATGCAAGATTAATGAGAAAGGTAAAAGAGAGTCAGAGCTGGAATCATCTAAAGAAATATACCCTCTCTCTGACTTAAAACCTTTGCGTGATCAAGTTGAAAAGCTGTCGGTGTCTCTCCGTCCCCTAATTAAAACAGAATACACATATGAGGGGTCGGATGACGATACACCTCAAATAACTACAAAAGAAATCCCTTTTACAGCAACTGAATTAGCTAAGTTAAAAAAGGAATATAGCAGAACCCCTAGAGAATCTGAGACTGAGTATGTTTGGAGAGTCTCTCTTACTGGGGGTGATCAAATTTTGTTATCAGAAAAAGAGGCTGAAGGGTTTTGGGGAGCTGGAGTTTTCCTGACTACAGGAGATAATCGGGCACCCTGGTCCCTTACCCAAAGAGCAGCCTACTGGGCTGGAGGTCTCAACCCCTTGGAAAGGGGAGATCCTCTGGCTAGAGTGGGAAATGTTAATCAGATTGTAGAAAATGTTCAAAAGGCTGCTTGTTTACAAATGATGTATGATAGAGAATTAACACCAAGACATGAATCCCCGATGATGTTGCCTGTAGATCCTGAAAGAATGATTCCCCTTATCAGAGGACTCCCTGAGGCTATGAAGCCTATTGGCATTCAGCTAAAAGGACAAATAGAAAGCCTCACCAAAGGGGAAAGAACTGCAGCCGCTTTAGAAGCAGCTTTAACCCCCAGCTGTTACCTTAGAGAAAATAAGATTTGGACCTGGGGAGAAGTGGCACAAGAATTAATTAAGTATGGAAGAAAATATGGTCCAGTACCCTCAATTACTACTGATACTAAATCAATTTGCCGCTTAGAATGCAAGAGTACTCCAGCAAAACTCAGAAAGGTAACATTCTCCTCCGGACAAGGAGGACCCACTAACACTGGGGGATACAGGGAAAAAAGGAATGCCCTGTGGATTGTGGGCTTGCAAAAGGGAATCCCAAAATCCCTAATGGATGGCCAAGCCACAGATAAATTAGAAATATTAATTCAAGAACGGCCAGTAAAGGAGGAATCCCTGAAAACTGTCCCTGCTACAGCCCCTGCCCTGGAGGGATCTGTCCTAGTTAGGACAACTGAGACATGTTCATCATGAACAACAACAGTTCATCATGGTATGGGTATAACCCAAAACTGTGTATTCTATAGCCTTCCATGCCATTACCCAGAAACTGTTGTCAATAGACTATTCACACCCTCCGCCCATAGAGCCTGACTCCTCAGGCTATAAACTAGGTGTTAAGAGGCCTGTGAGATAAGAGGATGCTCTTGTCCTCACACCCTTTATGGAATTCCCCGCTCTGAGCCTTTTATGGAACTCCCCGCTCTGAGGGAAGGATTGACCATTTCTGCCTGAACTGGAGAATATATAAACCTGGAGTTTCAGAACTTTTGCAACCACTCGTGGGATCCAGAGGACGACTGCAGTTCATCGCTCTCAACCTCAGCTGGACTGCAATCACCGCTTCTGACCAGACTGCAACAGCTCTCCCACCAGCAGGTTTTTCCCCTCTCCCTTTACTTTGGACTCAAGCGGGGCCCAGGGAACACCACTTTGTTCATGCCCCAGGGTACTGGGTTGTACATGTGGGTTTTGTGGGTTAGGACCAATTGTTTGTTTGTGTGATTGTGCTTGCTGTGTTGTTTTAATAAATTGTTATTCTGACTTGTGGTCTCTCCTTTGAGTTGAGTTCATTTCCCCTGCTGGTTGACTCTTAAACCAGCACAGGATCACAGCAAGGGGAGGTGACGGGAAACTCCTCTCTCTTCATCTTCAGTAGGTGAGCCGGGGGACGAAGGTTGGTTTTACATTAGACGGCTCACCAAAAATTCTAAGGGAGATTTGTTAATAACCTTTCCTATTGGTCCCCGCAGAACCCCTGTAACTTTTTTGATAGACACTGGTGCTCAGGTATCTGCCCTGAAAATTAAAGATGTATCTGTATGTGGAATCACTCCCTCACGTAAAGGCATATTTGTTGCGGATGCTTTCGGGAACATACAACCCCAGATAACAGCAAAGGTAAGATGCTGGTTACCAGGGGAGGAGAAAGCAGTTGAAACCTTAATGATTTTGGGTGAACTTCCTACCAATTTACTGGGACTAGACCTCCTGAAGGGAAGGTCTTGGACTGATGAGGAAGGAAACATATGGGCTTTTGGAAAAGAAATACCACATCTGTGCTTACTAAGTCCTGCACCTGCTCTTCCTTCCTCCCTAGTAACCAATGTCAAACCTTACCCCTTACCCTTGGGAGCAAGGGAAGGAATCACTTCAGTTATCGGAGATTTAAAAGAAAAAGGAATAGTGATTGCAACACATTCTCCTTATAACTCGCCTCTGTGGCCTGTTCGTAAGCCAAATGGCAATTGGAGGCTAACGGTAGACTACCTCGGCCTTAATGCAAACACAGGACCCCTTACTGCAGCAGTCCCAAATATAGCTGAGTTAATAGCAACCATCCGAGAACAAGCCCATCAAATCATGGCCACTACTGACATCAAAGACATGTTTTTTATGGTTCCCCTGCAGGAACAAGATCAAGAACGCTTTGCTTTCACATGGGAGGGCCAGCAATACACTTTTACCCGTCTCCCACAAGGATTTAAACCCTCACCCACTCTAGCACATCATGCACTGGCACAGGAACTGTCACTCATTCCTCCTGCACCAGGAGTAAAAGTGTACCAATATATTGATGACATTTTAGTAGCAGGAAATGAGATTGCACCTGTGCAAACAACCCAAACAGACATTATCAGGCATCTTGAGTCCCTGGACTTACATATTCCTCCTGAAAAGGTACAACCTCCTTCACAAGAAGTAAAATTCCTGGGAATCTGGTGGAAGGGAGGAATGGTTTGTATTCCCCCAGACACACTTACCTGCCTAGACCAACTTAAAACACCAGAGAATAAAAAAGATTTGCAGCATGCTTTAGGCCTGCTGATTTTTTGGAGAAAACATATCCCTGATTTTTCAATAATTGCACGACCCTTACATGATTTATTGCGGAAAAAGGTAAAGTGGGATTGGACCCCCCTTCACGATGAAGCCTTACAACTCCTGATTTTTGAAGCCAACACATACCACTCATTAGGCCCCATACACCCTACTGATCCAGTACAAATTGAGTGGGGATTTGCAAGTTCTGGACTGTCCG